CCCCTGTTCAGGACCCCTTCATTCTGTAAATGTAATTTATTCAGTCTTTTGGGAAAGAGCTTTGTTTGTTCTGAGTGGTCTTCCTCTGGCTTTATTGTATTTTGGGAATATCCTGTTTGTGCATTGCAGTGGTTTAGACAAATGTATGTTTTGTCTTGTCTGACACAAGTCATGCCATCATGCTTCAATGGCAATAGTGAATGCTTTAGGGGTGGTGTATATTGCTTTGGGAATTTGGGTGTCGTGGGTGCTCACTCTAGCATTAAACACAATTTATCGCCCCATTGCATGTTTATGCAGTATGAAAGTGATTCTCATGCATGTTTATGTATGTTTGGTACTTATTAATGATTTAATGCTTTCCCCTGTCCTCATGGAGGGTTTCATATATCACCCCCTGCTAACTACATGGTGCTATGAGCCATGACTTTGCCTTAGGGATTGAAAGCACCCAGGACTTAAAAAAAAAATGTATTTGATATCCATTGCCTGCCACCTTGTTTAATAACACAAGCTGCCATTGCATCTATGACGGGATCCCCTGTTCAGGACCCCTTCATTCTGTAAATGTAATTTATTCAGTCTTTTGGGGCTCGTCTTATTTGTTAGCTGTAGCAGTTGTGAGGCGCTGGGAATTTCCGATTAAGCAAAATATTAAGGAATTGCAGGTCATATAGTAACTTAAAAAATAAAAATAAATAAATAAATCACAGTTTTGTTATTAGTAGTACATTTATTTTTTTATGTAAAGAAATTATTTTATTAGAATTTTTTCTAAATTCTGTTCTATTTTTCTATTTTTTTAATTTGAATTCTTTTGGTCATGATAATTGTGTAGTGAAAATCTGGTATTGTTATTTTTCATATTATACTCTATTTCTATATTATATATATATATATATATATATATATATATATATATATTTAATTTACACAATTTAAGTGTAAAATTTATATATTTTTTTGTTTTATTTTTGGCCTTTCACCATTTTTATTCATAGAGACCATGTGAGAGACAATGGGAACGGAAGATTAAATTCAATTGAATTAAGACGTTTTTTTGTAGGCTTTCCAAAGACCAATTTGTCACATCATAAAACTTTATAAGCTATTGAAATAAAATGTTTGGAAAATTTTGGTTGACTTGGTTAAAACTTTTGTGTGTGTGTGTCAGAGAGGGCTACAAATGTGTCTGCTGTGTTCATATTGAATGTAAATATTGAAGCATAATTCACATGACACCTATGTTGTAAAGTAGAATTTCATTATGAAGTTTCACTGTTTGCATTAGCATTGCCTCTGCTTCTTAAAGCTGCAGAGGCCTGAGCACATTGTGATTGTCATAACTGTGCAATTGTGTTAATGCTCTCAATGCCTTATTAGCCTCTCTGGTTACAGCAGAGGAAGGCCATCCTCAGGTCTTTTAGCTCCAGGAGCTGGGATGTGTTCTTCTGGAAGCAGCATTTTTGCGTTGTTACCTCACTGTGGCCGTAAATATTCTCTCTTATGGCTTCCAGATGTCCCCCTGCCAGAGGAGTGGATGTGGGAACACACACTCAAGGCCTAGTATTCCTCTTTGCATCTTTCTTTGCACACACGCCTGTCCCCACATACAGCGGGGAGGGCACATTTACACAAGCACGCACAGATTCTCACAAGCACTGTGTCACACACACCCTTAACCAGTCGGGTAGGAGACACAAAGACGGGACGTGTTTTTCCAGTCCCACAATGCCAATGAGTTTAGTCTGACACTTTCTTTTAAAACCTCAGTATTCGTATTTTGCATAAATGATGTCCCTTTGTACCAGGGTTAAGAACTGAAACTAAAACTTTCACTACTTAAATAAAAAAAAAACATTAACTAAAATAAAATTATATATATATATAAACTTATTTTAATTTATTTGAGTACTATTAAAATACATTTTTATAAAATGTATAAAAAAAACTATAGAGACATTAAAAAATAATACAAATATACAAATTACTAAAACCTCAAAATCTCATTCATAATACAAAAAACTTGATTAAAAAAATAGAACAAATGATACTTGAATAACACTGGTTTGTACAACCTCACTACCAACTATTCTTTGAAAGGATCATAAACAGCCATACAGTGAACAATGTGGCGAAGAAGTTTACATTTAGAGCACTGCAGATTACCTCACTCTCATTTGTCATGGCAACCGTTGCTATGTTTGGCATGCCCGTGTTGTTTTATAAGGTTTTCAGGTGAGCGATACTGTATAGCTATTGTTCTGCTGCCAAAATTAAACAAGAGAAGCATCTCTAAACCAACTGATACTTATATACATAGGGTGGAGCTGGCTTCATGATAATGCACAGGTATCGCATGGATTTCTCCATGCATGGGCCCCTCGCTCGGTCTACGTTTATTTGTTTTTACTCTCTAAAGAGCCTTGCAAGGTCCCATTATGATGTGGTTACTGGCGATTCATTCTTGTGAAGTGTTTTATTCAGTGGTTGTTTCGCAGTCCATGCTGCCTGTGGAACCGAGGCGTCTTTTAGGACTCTAGTGGTTGTTGGTTACGAGCGTTATGTCTGATTGTATGCAGTCAATGGTGTGTATGACATAAAGCACGACTCCCACTGCAGTGCCACACTTATTTTAACATGTGGAAATTTAACTGTTGAAAGTTTCTTAGAGATCAAGCGTGGCTAATTCTATCCAGGGATGTCTGAGGTTATTTTTACTCTGTCTCAGTGGTAAGGCTGGGCGGCATGAATTTGATACATTCAGTCAGAATTTACTAGCATATGAATTATCTGTTTTTCTATTTTTTTTCATAATGCGAGGCTGTTTTTGAACTGATGACAGACTTAACATTATCTTTAAGTTTGTATCCATCAAGTCCCCCCCCAAAAAAAATCAAATCAAATGAATTATGTCTTTATAAGTATACTTTTAATATATAAGTAATACCTTTAATAGTATTTTTATTTAGATCACTAGGTTATCCAAAAATAGGCATTGGCACGTGTTTATTTAATCTTTATTTAAATAAGAATAAGTAACATTTTTAATTTGTTTTATTAATTCAATTAGTTTAATTATATAGTATGAATTATAATTATATATAAATTAAATTATTAATAATTATATAGTATTATTTATTTATTAATTTATTCATATTTTATTTATTTTTATAACCCATATTTCCAGCAAAAAATTATAAAAAAAAGTATACACTTATAATATATAATAGTATTATATATTTATTTATTTTGCTGGAAATGTAGATTTTTATTTATTTATTAAATAATATATTCACACAGTTGTGATATATATTGTCACCATAATAAAAAATGTGTTCATACTACCTGCTCAATAGTGTTTACACATTGCTGGTATTATTAGCATGTTTTTAGCTGTCAGCAGGGTGATATGTGACTGTGATGACTGTTAGATTAGCAGTGGGTCAGTGCTTAAGTGTAATTACAGTAGTAATGTGGAGCAGTTCTGATGAGACGTAAGGACCTGGCTGGGTAATGAAGGCCTGCTGGGACCAATATGCCTTGCTTGGAGCCACCAATTGTACCTTGGTGATCTACCCACTTATTTGCTCTGAAAGACAGATGCTGTAACTTCAACAGATAATGAGTAATGACCCCTTAAATAGAATTAGAATATTGTGTGGGAAACATTTTATTCTTAGTTTATATTATTAGATAGTGAAAATAAGTAGCCTTTTCAAAAAGGTACACCTTTGTACCTTATTTACCCCTAATGGCTGCATGCAAGGCAAGCACATTAAAGGTACATATTATTACCTAAATAGTACATATTTGTACCTTTTGAAAAGGTACTGGACCAGTGACAGCTTTTGTACCTTTTTTTCTGAGAGTGTATAAATCTGTTATTAAATAGCTCTATATACTGACACCTATGTGACTTTTTTGAATTTCTTTCTTCTGCACAATCCAATATTGCTATGGTAACAGAGCCGCCCCACCCTGTGTGCTTGATACTGATTGGATGAGAGTTTATGGACTAAACTATGAGTGTAGCTGTGGCTGTGTGCTCCCATGGAAATATTTAGCAACAGAACACCTCAGTAATGTGTATGAGAGCCATTAGATGAGGTCGAGCTTTATAAAAAGATGTTTTAGGAAGGTCAAGCTTACCTCATTCTGAGATGCTAAGTTCAGAGCTGCATAGACTCAGGTGTGGGTGGCGTGTTTGTACTCTTGTTGAGGATAAACATGGCAGACTTTTATCCTTATCGCACTGTGGTTGAGATCATCCCCTCTTCTGTTCCCATGTTCTCCCACCCTGGGAATAACACATGCACAACCTTGCTTCAGTGGAGGAATTCATTATTTTACGTAATATTTACAAAAGAATGTTTCAAATAATAGTTCATTTGAAAATGTATTTATTCAACCAAAATCTTAAGTATAACTCTGAAAAACAGCATTTTTTCATAAATATATATAGTGGCAATAACTGTTCAAAATGTTGCGGTCAGTAAGATTTTTGAAAAGTTTTTATTTTAAAAACAGTAATACTGTGAAATAATATTTCTATTTAAAATAACTTTTTTCTATTTTAATAAAATGCAAAATATAATTTATTCCTGTGATGGCAAATCTAAATTTTCAGCAGCCATTACTCAAGTAATCAGTCTCACACATCATTTAGAAATCAGTCTAATATGCTGATTTGGTGCAATCAGTGTTGAAAACATTTTTCAGGATTATTTGATGAATGGAAAGTTCAAAGGAACTTTCTATTTTATAATTTATCTGAAATAGAAAATCTTTTGTAACATTATGAATACCTTTAACTGTCATTTTTTATCAATTCAATGCTGAATAAAAGTATACATTTTCTTTTAAAATTTTTCTTTCTGACCCCAACCGTTGGTAGTGTATTTATTTGTATTTTTTGAAAATTTCTTTTTATTATTATTATTATTATTATTATTATTTTATTTCAATTTGACTGATTTTGTCCCTTTTAATATTTACAGCCAAACCTTTTACATCCAAGGTGAAACAGATGCGCTTGCACAAGGAAGATTTCGAGATCCTGAAGGTGATTGGACGGGGAGCATTTGGAGAGGTATTTATTGTTCTCACTACATTTAGAACATTCTATTGTTTTTTTTTAGATCCCATAAGAGCCCCTTTTCATTATTAGTTAATATACTGCTTTACCATAAGCACAGGTATGTTGCAGAGTAAGGAAATTCTTCATGCTGTACTTTTGAGAGCCCGAGGCAGTTAATGTTCTTTTGTAATGACAGATGTGTGATGTAGTCACTGGGGAATGTGTGGTGTACAGGTAGGCCAGGAAACCGGCACTATTAGGTTACTTAGTGAGGCTTGGCTGTTCAGAATGGCACATGAAGTGGGAATATTGGATTGGAGCCATGTTTTAAAACCCCAGCAAATGGTTTATGGAATTTGTATTCAGGTTTTATTTTCGCAGTGACTGAGCACATGGACGTTTCCAAGTTGAGTTGAAGGAATAGTTCACACAAAAATAAAAATTCTATCATTATTTACTCACCCATTTTGTAACCAGTGCAGCTCCTTTTCTTCCGTGGAATACAAAAAGTTAATATTTGAGGAATATCTTTGCAGCTGACTTGCAAGTGAAAAAGTGAAAGTGAAGTGATGTGTAGCCAAGTATGGTGACCCATACTCGGAATTTGTGCTCTGCATTTAACCCATCCAAGTGCGCACACACACAGCAGTGAGTAGTGAACACACACACACACACCCGGAGCACTGGGCAGCCATTTTTTTTTGCAGCACCTATGGTGACCCATACTCGGAATTTGTGCTCTGCATTTAACCCATCCAAGTGCGCACACACACAGCAGTGAGTAGTGAACACACACACACACACCCGGAGCACTGGGCAGCCATTTTTTTTTTGCAGCACCTGGGTAGCAGTTGGGGGTTTGATGCCTTGCTCAAGGGTCTCACCTCAGTCGTGGAATTGAGGGTGGAAGAGAGCGCTGGTCATTCACTCCCCTCACTGACAATTCCTGTCAGTACAGTGACTCGAACCCGCAACCTTTGAGTTACAGACTCTCTAACCATTAGGCCATGACTTGAAATATTCCGTACAGGTTTTACAGACTGATGATGATTTTATGATAGTTTTATGGTATTTTTCCAGTTTTTTTTATCAGTCGTGGAATTGAGGGTGGAAGAGAGCGCTGGTCATTCACTCCCCCCACTGACAATTCCTGTCAGTACAGTGACTCGAACGCAACCTTTGAGTTACAGACTCTCTAACCATTAGGCCATGACTTGAAATATTCCGTACAGGTTTTACAGACTGATGATGATTTTATGATAGTTTTATGGTATTTTTCCAGTTTTTTTTATTTTTTTAAGCTTGAAATCTTTAGTCCACATTCAGATAGTAACCAGCATATTATTTAAAGTTTCTCCTTTTGTTTTCCATGGAAAAAAAGAAAGTCATATGGTTTTGGGAATGACAGGATAGTGAGTAAATGATGACCACATTTTCCTTTAGCTAATCCTTTAACATACAGATCTGCTTTAAACAACTGTGTCTGTAAAAAGTTTTTTTTTTAAACAATGGATAGGTTTGAGTTATAAAAATGGCAACACATTTATTAGATTGGGTGGATGGAAATACATCAAAGATCCTTGAGATTAAAGTAGATTTTAAAGGGCAATGTGTCAGTCCCTCGGTTTTTCTCTACTTGTCAACGTCTGGTGAGCTATATGATTCATCTGCACCCGGAACGTTTTCGTCTGACACACCACTAGACAGGTTTTCCGGCCTAGCGTCTGCCCACTTCAGTCCAACTGGAATCAACAGCTCATGGAAAGCTAGCAGAAAATCCGTTCTACTTGATGTGAGCCTGTTTCCAAAATAACACCAGAGAGGAAGCCATGCAGCTGTGTGAAAACGTGCAAAGGAATAGATTGAGGATAGGTCACACACTTTCATCTCCTGATGGATCAGGATAGGCTTGGGCAAACAGAAGAAGGACAGATGACATAATTTCCTGTGGAGACTGCTGAGCCAGTAGCTGCTTCTGAATTTCAAATTTAAAAAATAAATAAATCAGCTGTCAATATGTTTTAAGATCATTAAATTTTTTTTGCATGTTGCATTTGCATTTTCACATTTAAATGCCACTTACTGTAATGCAGTTTTTTATTAAAATGTTTAAATACTATAAATATTTTTATAGTATACACTACAGTAAGCTCTATAGCATACTATGAACGTACATTATGTTAGTGTTTGATGTATTGAATTCAGTTTATGCTGATAAAAAAAAAACAAAAAAAAAACTTTGTATCCAGACAGAATGAAAATGTGTGATAAAAATATCACAATGGTCCTATAAATAAATAAATAAATAAAAAAGAAAGAAAGAACTGGTCTCATAAATAAAAGACCATTCAAGTACTGAGACATGCAGCACTCTTCCAGAGATGTGTGGATTTTTTTTTATTATGAACAGACCCACACATTTCTATGAGAGTGCGGCATGTCTCGGTAGTTTTAGTGGTCTTGTAGTGTATGAGTTGATGTGTAGGGTGCGGAAAGGGGAATCTCTGAAGATGTCATCACATACTTGATGGCAGAAAGCGAAGAGCAAAGAACTTTGAAAGAGACTCTTCTATCATCAAAGTCAGAGCCAAAAACAGTGTGCTCCTTCCCGATCAAGTCACTAAACATTGCCAGAACATTGTTATGTCTAATCATCATTTAATAGAGTGAAGACATCACACGCCTAACTGGGCTTAATGTTTTAAATTTCCTTAACAAGGCAGATGCTAGATAAGATCATAAGAAGTTTACTTTCCTAGCACTATGATTTCATGACATTCACACGCATCTGTTTTTTATTTGTATTTAAACTTTACTGTTTGTAGTCTCACAGAGATTGAATTTGCAGCTTAGGCCCTGTTTATACTAGTGCGTTTTAGTTTTAAAACGGCGTCTACACTTGCGTTTTCACTGCGTCTCAGAAATCATATGTCAGTATTTGCTGAACCCCCAAATGATGATAATTAAAAGATATCATTGTGGCTGACATAAGCATTGAATAGATATTTAAAAGTGGCTTTAGAAGTCAATTTATTGTTTTTTGTTTGTTTCCATATCAATAAATGTATTATCCTATCACTAACCTACTGTACACAATCCATTTTGTAGTCAGGTTTGCTTGTAAATGCAGCAAATTCATAAATATATATATATATATATATATATATATTCAATACTAAATTAATTTTATAAAATCGAATTACAATTTAATATGTTATTTAAAAAGAAGAGCTCCAGGTTTTGTGCTTGTTTGTAGGGCTGCACAATTTGGTCAAAAATGTTGTGATTTATATATGATTAAAGGGGTCATATGATGCAATTTCAATTTTCCCTTTGTTCTTTTTAGCAACATTATATGACCCCTTTAATTATTATTATCATTTAATTAGTATTATTATTATTAAAGATAAATTAAAATATTAAACAAAATAAGAAATATTACAATTTTAATATAGTAATATAAAAAAATCTAGTATTTAATGATTTATATATTATATTATATATTATTATAATATTATATTATAAACATAATTATTTAATTTGGCTCTGAAACATGCAGTACATTTATTTGATTAAATCGCAGCTTTTGTAATTTAATAATCACACTGAGCCATATTGCAATATTCAATTTTATTTCACTTAACTGTGCAGCCCTAGTTGATACAACTCTAAAATTCTTCTAAAGTTGTATGACAGTGACTTTATCATTCAGCATTCACATCAAACCTGACATGATGCATCTTTATGGAAAAAAGTTTAGAATGATATGGCAAGTGTTAAATGTCTATTATTGGTAAACTATGCCTTTAAATGGATTTATTAAATCTCTAATTTCTTTTGTCTCTTCATCAATTCACATTTACATTTTAAATGCAGCCTTCACACATCGTTTCCGGTCTCCAGATTACATTAGTCGGCTCCTGCCCCAAAAGCTCCTACCAGGAAAAGCTTGGAGCTCTTGCTTTCACCCAGCCCTGATTAGACTAAGTGGGCAAGCTGTTGTGTTAAAGTGGAGGTTACTTAGAGATTGTGCTTGTAAGTGTTAAGTGCACGGTTCCTCTCGGCCAGATATTTGCATAGTGTGCGCTCTTATCCTTCCACTGAAAAGGACTGGCCCATGTCACAGACGGAGAGCCAACCGGACGAACTAGCATCTGTGTGTTTTTGTTGTGTGTGACCATTGCATTGTACTCTGTTATTGATCAGGGCCATATGTGTGTCCAAAGCCATGCGTGTTGATGTCTCAGCTGATTGCTAAGGAAGCTGGAATTTAATTCGCCACCAAAACATGGCTTGTTGCACCTCAAAAGCCAAGAGGGAATCTCTTGTTACCTGTAAAGATCCTTTATCAAAGAGAAAGATGCACAGTCGTTGCCTGAGGATAAAGCCACATTCATCTGAAACGGCACAGGTGATTGGATGACCTTATAAAGAGCTTTGTGTGGTGACATCAACGGCACTCTTAGTGCTTGTAGAACAGCTTTTTTTCAACAACAGGGGCTTGACCTACAAGTTGAAGTTTCCACATACTCCAATTTTTTTTTTTAGAAATAATGGATTGAGCTCAGTGCTCTAGTAAAAAAGGATGGAATGAATTGCTGAAATGTACCCTATGTCCCCATGCAATGAGTCCCACCCCCTTCTCTTTCTTCCTGTCTATAGCTGACCAGCTCTCCCTGTGGTAGGCATGAGGCCGGGCCAGATGGTGTTCACAGATGGTTATTGTGGTCTTAAAGTGGGATTACCTCCCTCTGCTCGCAGTCCGCTGCTCCTTAAGACAGCAGCCCAGGACAGAGCCACCCAATTATCACCTACACTACAACCCCTGCTGACCTTAATGCACCATTACAAAGTGAATGGCTTTTAGCCTAGCAGGAGGCTTGCAGCCAGGTTAACCAAATCTAACGTAGATTGAAGACAAGCCAAGTTTAACAGTATTAAGTAAACTTAGCAATGATTGGAGTCTTTATACACACAAGTATGGAGTAATAATAAAAGACTGAGTAGCTGTAGAGTCATCATCTATGGCTATGTCATGAATATTTCCACATTATCTGTGGTAAGCCTTGTTAGCTCATAGTGTTAATCAATGGACTCTGTAGAGCATATTTGTTTGGCTTTAATTAAAACATAAACTTATTTTATGTAATAATATTTTATTAAAAGTCAAACAATGCTTTTATCTGCCACAATAATGGAATAATAATGCCACTGAATGATCAAATTCTTTTGGGTGCTTTATATATATGTATACACGGGTACACTACTATTCAGAAGTTTGGGGTCAGTAAGATTTTATTTAAAAGAAATTAGTACTTTTAATCATCAAGGATGCCTTTAAATGGATCAAAAGTGACAAAGACATTTCAAATTCAAATAAATGCTGTTCTTTTGAGCTTCTGTCTCTATCTTTTAAAAATAATTAATATTATATTTTCAACAAAAATATTATGCAGCACAATGTTTTGAACATTGATAATAATAAGAAATGTTTTTTGAGCACCGAATCAGCATATTCAAAAGATTTCTGAATGATCATGTTACACTGAAGACTGGAGTAATGGCTGCTGAAAATTCCACTTTGCAATCATAGGAATAAATTAAACTATAATAAAATATATAAAAATGTTATATATATATACATATATATATATATACACACACACACACACACACACTGTGGCAATGAATGATTACTATATTCATTTAGCATGACATTATATAAAACGTTGACTTTTTTTTTGTTATGGTTCTTTTTGGTTTAGAAAATGAATGTTTATTATTGTGTTTTATGTATAATCAGGGATATTAAGCCAGACAATATCCTGATGGACATGAATGGTCACATCCGGCTGGCTGACTTTGGCTCCTGCCTCAAGCTCATGGAAGATGGGACCGTGAGTTTGATCCTCAATCCTGAATTGTCAAGCGCATGATTTCTTGCTCAGTAAGTCTTGTGTTATAACTTCCTGTCTTCTTGTTCCTGTTTTCTCTCAGGTCCAGTCCTCTGTGGCAGTTGGGACCCCGGACTACATCTCTCCAGAGATCTTGCAGGCTATGGAAGACGGGAAGGGAAAGTACGGGCCGGAGTGTGACTGGTGGTCTCTGGGTGTGTGCATGTACGAAATGCTGTATGGAGAGACGCCCTTTTATGCTGAATCCCTGGTGGAGACCTATGGAAAGATCATGAACCATAAGGTTAGTTTGCATCGTGGACCAAAATGTGATTCTGTGCAACAAGAATTTGACAGTGTTGTTATTTCCAATGTGTATTTAAAGGTGATATGTGTAATTTGTCAATGTTAAAATACTGTACATTCTTCCTTTAGAGACAACTGTAAGCAAGCCATTTATTGGTTGATTCCCCTGAATAGTGTAAAATCACTGTGCTGTCAAAGTATTATCTTGTTCAGGAAAACAAGTGTTATTTGTGCTGTTCCATTTTGTGATGCTAGTAATGCAGAAATGACACATTTCACCTTCTTCTGAAATCTGTTTGCAGTAGAGTAGCTTAATTTCTAGGTAACCTTTTCCTTTTTTAGTTCACCAGGATAATTTGTTTGTGTCTCTTGCTTGGTATAAAACAAATAGTCATGAGCGGATTTTCTTTTTGTCTTTTCTTCACTATTTTATTCTGGATTAGTCATCTCAACCTAACAATGAGGTAAAAATTCACCTATTCATCAAGGTTCATTTAGTTTTGTGTGGGACTTCACTAATGGAGCACATCTTAGACCACCGTAACTAGCGTAGATAGGCATAGATATTTGAGAGAGTCTCAATGAGCAACACTCAAGTATATTTTAACTCATTCATTCTCAGGAGCGCTTCCAGTTTCCACTTCAGGTGACAGATGTGTCTGAGGAGGCTAAAGATCTCATACGGCGGCTGATCTGCAGCAGAGAACACCGGTTAGGCCAGAATGGCATCGACGACTTCAAACAGCACCCCTTTTTCACAGGCATTGACTGGGACAACATTCGCACATGTGAAGCCCCCTACATCCCCGAAGTCAGCAGCCCCACTGACACCTCCAACTTTGACGTGGATGATGATTGCCTCAAAAACTGTGTATGCATCTAATTTCTTTCAAATTTTATCTTGGAGCTGATGTATTTATTCCACATAAATGCCTTAATGTGTGGTTGCAGAGGCACATTTTCTCTTAAATTTGCCACTATACAGAACTAGATAATTTCAATGAATATTTGAGTTTTTCTGAAATATTTTAGGAGACGTTGCCGCCACCTTCACACACAACGTTTTCTGGACACCACCTCCCATTTGTAGGCTTCACCTACACAAGCAAATGGTGAGTCAGATGTTTATTCATCATGGCTTTTTTTAAATATGTAAAAAAGTATGACAGTAAAGACTTTTACATTGTTACAAAAGATTTATATTTCAAATAAATGCTGTTCTTTTGAACGTTCTATTCATCAAAGATTCCTTAAAAATCCATCACAGTTTACAGAAAAATACTGAGCTGCACAACTATTTTTAACGTAGATAATAATAAATGTTTCTTGAGCACCAAATCAGCATATGAGAATGATTTCTGAAGGATCACATGACTGGAGTAATGGCTGCTGAAAATACAGCTTTGCCATCACAGGAATAAATTATATTTTAAAGTATATTAAAATAGAGAACAAATATTTTAATAATAATAAAAATAATAATATTTCACAATATTACTGTTTTTGATTAAATAATTGTAACCTTGTTGAGCATAAGATACTTCGTTCAAAAATATACAAAATCTTAACAACCCCAAACTTTTGAACAGTAGTGTAGATTGTAGTGTGCTTTAACAATTTGATTTATTCTGCGTATCACAAAATTTGAACTGCAGTTTCTTGTGTGATTTGATTCTGTAGCACTCTGTCAGATCGAGGGTGTCTGCGGGAGTCCATGGGACCACCACAGGTAGATGCTGATCTTCAGCGTAGCCTGGAAGAGAGCCTGGCCTCAGAGGCCTATGAGAGAAGGATCCGACGTCTAGAACAGGAGAAGACCGAACTTACCCGTAAACTACAGGGTGAGGGCACTAACACATCCACACTAAATCATATTTTATCTTTCTGTCTCTCTAAAACATCCTTTTTCCCTTAGAGTCCACACAAACAGTGCAGGCACTGCAGTACCCTGATTCGGACGCCCCAGTGAATGCTAATAAGGAAGTAGAGATCCGGAGTTTAAAATGTGAGATCGACATCCTGAAGAAACAGATAGCAGGTGAGAGCTTGATATTGGGTTGGAATGCACTCAGTCAAGGGCACAGTCCTGGTCTTGGGTCTTTATTGTACTTTATTGATTACTCATTGAGTGTAGTGACATCTCTAGACAAAGACTCTATACATTTTCGTCATGTCAGACTCTGGTCAGCTGGAACAGCAATTGGAGGAGGCCAGCACAGTTCGAAGAGACCTGGAAGACTCGTCTAAGATCATCAGGAGCTTCGAGAAACAGCTGAAGAGTGTCATGCAAGAGAGAGATGATCTGCACAAGGTACCTATTCCGTTGTATTTTGAGAAATAGGTAAAAGATCATTATTTTTCTACACCAGTCTAGGATGATGAAGCTAGTCAGCTAGGTCAAGATGTTTGGAGTATGGTTAACTAGCTCAACCACGCCCCCACCAGGTGAGCCAAGGTGGTTTACTAACTCCAATCATGTTGGCCTTCAATCCAAAAATTAGGCTTCTAACGTGCAGCTCTAACTAGTCTAAGATTTGCTGGTCTTAGTTGGTTTGAACTGGTCTCCCAGTCTGGCCAAGCTGATGTTTAGCTTGTTGATCAGCTGAAACGACCATTCCCTCTAAAACCATCAAAATAAACAGATTAGCTAGACTGAGAGAGACCAGCTAGCCACTTTAAACAGTTTTTTTAAATGCTGTGTTTTTTCAAGATAATTGCCATAAATTACCAACTAGTTTCTCCGTTTGTGACTGCTGGCGTAATGGTCCAAATGACCCGAGCTGACTTTAATCTTTAACCGTGCCATTTAACAGATTACTCTTTAGCTCAATGACTAGTTTATAGTTGATCATAAACAAGGATAAAGGCTGGAATACACTGCATCACTTTTCAAATCTGAACATAATTTAAAGCACAATGGATCATACACCTCCTGACTTTGTAAATTGTTACAGAGAAAAATTGGGCATCATGTATTAAACTACTGAGGATCACACACTACCAGACTTTCAAGAACATAACAAATAATTCAGGAACGTGTCACGTGGGTAGGAAGACACATGACAAATGAAAACAGTATGTGTTCTAAAATCGGCTCAAAATATCAAACATGTTTGATATTTTCCGACTGGATGGAATCATAGTCTGAAGCTGTCCGTCATACACGATGTGATTTTATATGAAATCTGTCAGCTCTGAGTGCCCAAAATCTGCAGATTGACTCTGACATTCAGCAGCGAGCATAGACCCATCCAGTATGCAAACTGGGGCAAAAATCTGGGCAAAAGTTGTGTAGTGTAGTCCAGCCTTAAGTTATGCTAACTTTGATTCTGTAATGAATATGTGAAGGAGCTGCTGGAGTTGGCAGAGAAGGTGAAGGCTCAGGGGAAGGAGCTAAAGGAGGCTCACAGTCAAAAGAAGATGGCCGTGAAGGAGTTCTCTGAGCTGAACGAGCAGCTGAGCGATCTGCGCTCACAAAAGCAGCGGCTGAGCCGACAGTTCAGAGACAAAGAGGAAGAGATGGAAGGAGTGTCACAGAAACTAGAGGCTCTACGGCTAGAGATTCGCAAAGCAGAGAAAATGCGCAAAGAGGTATACGCATTAACTTACTGAAACTTACTGGTGTTTGACTTTATATAAGCCAAGTCAGCATGTTTGTAATTATTGATTATCATCGGTGCTATTATATTTGTGGATTTGTTGGCTGTGTATTTGATGTTTGTTTTCGTCTCAGTTGGAGGCCCAGGCTGAGGAGCAGGGAGCAGAAGCTCAGAAGGAGAGGAAGCTACGAGAAAGAAACGAACAGTACAGCAGACAGTTGGAGGAGGACCTGGAAGGGATGAAGGTGACAATGCATGAGTATATTAATATATGTTAATTGGCCATTTAGAAATGTTCAACTTATATATGCTGTATACTTTATATAAATAGTTACTTATGTAAAATGTATGTATGTTGTGTGTGTGTGTGTGTGTATATATATATATATATATATATATATAAATATTATATATATATATATATATATATATATATATACATATATATGAAAAACTCTTTTTGATCTTGTTTGCTGCCATTTTCCCCCTTTTCTCGCATTCTCTAAGTCCTTTAACCAACTTTATACTCACTTATGTCTCAATCCTCCTGCAGCAGTTGAAACAGGCTGGGCCGCCTCACGCAGCGGCAAGCTTAGACCAACAGCAGGAGCTGATGCGCATACGAGCAGAGCTGGAGAAGAAGAACGTGCAGTACGAGGAGGAGTTGTGTCGCCGAGAGACACTCCACAGCAGCGAGCTGAAGGGCCTCAAAAAGGAGCTCCACGATGCTGAGGGTCAACACCTCACACTCCAGAAAGAGATTCTCATGCTCAAAGACAAACTGGAGAAAACCCGCAGAGAAAGGTACATGTGTGATTATACGTGACCAGGTTTTTGTGCAGTTTCTTTTCGTTGTCAGTGAAAGCATCAGGTAATCTTACAGCTGTCGGCACATTCAGCCTTTGCATATTTACAGCTTTTCTTGTCTGCCGCCCACTTAGACAGAAATGGCCAATCTGATGCACCACAGTTTGTTTGTATGTGACGTTTAGAGGCATAAATCTGAAATTTAATATATTGAATATAATAACTATGGTCTGTGAACGGCCCATGGTCATAATGAGACCACCAGCTTGTTGGGCCACCAATGTGAACCTGTAGATCTGATTCTTTACATTGAATTTCCATGGTAGCAGAATGTAGCTGTACTGTAAACTTCATCATGTTCATTGTTGTGTTTGTAACAGCCAAACTGAGCGAGAGGAGTTTGAGACGGAGTACAAGCAGAAGTACGAGAGGGAGAGAGGCCATCTGACAGATGAAAACAAGAAGCTCGCAAGTGAAGTGGAGAAAGTGAGATCTCTATCGCTTTCAGAAACACGTGTGCCATTGCTCATGATATTCATTAGCCTGTGTCTCTTTCATAAAAAAAGTATACATCAAACCCCTAAAATTCCCTCTTCTTCTCTGGCAGTCTTTCCCCAAATCTGCTAACATTCCTAGAGAGACATCGTAACCACACACACTTACCCAAAATTGCTTCTTGGCTCAGCCACTGTTTACTTTGGACTGCGGGGTAAAATCGGAATCAACCAGTCAAATAATTCTGCAAGTTTGGACATATCAGATATTAAAGGGCTCCTTATTTTTGGTGGCATGGATATTAAACATTATTCATTTCGTAAAAATACCTGGAAACCCAAAACACAAAGGCAGTTTAAAACAATAGCGCAGCTGGCCAGACCTGTCATGTCAAATGCCAGATTGGATGAGGCTTAGAAACATAAGCAAGAATGATGGCATTTGGAAGGAATTGAACCAGGATGTGAAATGCCTGAATGAATTCACATTCCTATCAAAGAGCACTGCAGAGGTTTTGCATAGACTCGCCGTAACATATGATTGCTTCCTGTCTTTCGTACAACGTTCACTTTCCTACTGAACAAAGAACCAATGAAAGCTAGTAAAGTTGATCTGGGATCAGTTTTTCTAATCTAATATTTACATTTTATTTTAGCTTTTTTCAATTAATTAAAATAATTTTTTGTTGTTTTTAGTTGTAGATAACAATAACAACACTGGTAGCAACATGCTAAGAACCACCTTAACACCTTTTGTTATTTACTCTTTGTGATCTTTTTTGTCTTTTCAGCTGAGCTCTATGTATGACCAGCTCAACAGTAGTCACAGGCAGCTGGAGGAGGAGATGAGAGAGTTGGCTGATAAGAAGGAGAGCGTTGCCCATTGGGAGGCCCAGATCACTGAGATCATACAGTGGTGAGTGGAGCCCCCTACTTGCAGCCGTGTGACATCACACTTGCCAAGAAAGACACATGATATTGATGACCTTTACCCATGTCTGTATCCAGATGATGCAGATCATTTGGCCATTCATCACATTCATCGGTTTTAAAATAGAACAAACGTTTACAGATGTTGTGCTTTATGTCAAGGTTAAGCTGAACTAAGCTAATCTGTGCAGGGTGAGCGATGAGAAAGATGCTCGTGGTTACCTCCAAGCTCTGGCCACAAAAATGACAGAGGAGCTTGAAGGGCTCAGGAACACCAGCTTGGGAGCCAGAGGAACGGTGAGACTTGCACACAGCAGATAAGGATGAAACACATATTCTCATCTTCCTGAATGTCTGATGTGGTGGGTCGCTATCTCGTTTTGTTAGGACATGCCGTGGAAGATGAGGCGCTTTGCTAAGCTGGACATGTCTGCGCGTCTAGAACTGCAGTCTGCACTGGATGCCGAGATCAGAGCCAAACAGTCCATCCAGGACGAGCTTAACAAAGTCAAAGCATCCAACATTGCCACAGAATGGTAAGACCACACATATCAACATAGTTCTGCTCAACTCTACTGAAACTAGAGATCTGGTTTGCTGATTTCATTTAAAGTCTAATGGATGTGAAATGCCTGAATGAATTCACATTCCTATCAAAGAGCACTGCAGAGGTTTTGCATAGACTCGCCGTAACATATGATTGCTTCCTGTCTTTCGTACAACGTTCACTTTCCTACTGAACAAAGAACCAATGAAAGCTAGTAAAGTTGATCTGGGATCAGTTTTTCTAATCTAATATTTACATTTTATTTTAGCTTTTTTCAATTAATTAAAATAATTTTTTGTTGTTTTTAGTTGTAGATAACAATAACAACACTGGTAGCAACATGCTAAGAACCACCTTAACACCTTTTGTTATTTACTCTTTGTGATCTTTTTTGTCTTTTCAGCTGAGCTCTATGTATGACCAGCTCAACAGTAGTCACAGGCAGCTGGAGGAGGAGATGAGAGAGTTGGCTGATAAGAAGGAGAGCGTTGCCCATTGGGAGGCCCAGATCACTGAGATCATACAGTGGTGAGTGGAGCCCCCTACTTGCAGCCGTGTGACATCACACTTGCCAAGAAAGACACATGATATTGATGACCTTTACCCATGTCTGTATCCAGATGATGCAGATCATTTGGCCATTCATCACATTCATCGGTTTTAAAATAGAACAAACGTTTACAGATGTTGTGCTTTATGTCAAGGTTAAGCTGAACTAAGCTAATCTGTGCAGGGTGAGCGATGAGAAAGATGCTCGTGGTTACCTCCAAGCTCTGGCCACAAAAATGACAGAGGAGCTTGAAGGGCTCAGGAACACCAGCTTGGGAGCCAGAGGAACGGTGAGACTTGCACACAGCAGATAAGGATGAAACACATATTCTCATCTTCCTGAATGTCTGATGTGGTGGGTCGCTATCTCGTTTTGTTAGGACATGCCGTGGAAGATGAGGCGCTTTGCTAAGCTGGACATGTCTGCGCGTCTAGAACTGCAGTCTGCACTGGATGCCGAGATCAGAGCCAAACAGTCCATCCAGGACGAGCTTAACAAAGTCAAAGCATCCAACATTGCCACAGAATGGTAAGACCACACATATCAACATAGTTCTGCTCAACTCTACTGAAACTAGAGATCTGGTTTGCTGATTTCATTTAAAGTCTAATGTCTTTTTTTTTCAGGTCAATGAACATTCGTTTCACTCTTTATGTGAATAGTTTTTAGGGCTGCACGATAAATCGCATGCGTTTATCCTCCGCATCTCGTCAGTAAAGCCGGTTCTGTGATTAGTAGTAAATCTCCAGCACGTGCTTTCAGATGGAACTGCATTTACTACACAGAGCCATAGTTCACTGACAAGCTACGCAAACAGCTTTCATTATCACATGCGATACATCGCTGATAATGAACGCGATTTTGCGTAGCTTGTCAGTGAACTATGGCTCTGTGCAGTAAATGCAGTTCCATCTGAAAGCACATGCTGGAGATTTACTACTAATCACAGAACCGGCTTTACTGACGAGATGCGCATGATAAATGCATGCGATTTATCGTGCAACCCTAATAGTTTTGATATTCGCTTTTCTTTTTGATTTAGTCAGTAGAGCTTTAGCTTAATTTAGCTTATTTTGTTCACACTCTCTTTTCAAATGAGGTGAATTTAAATAGAGTGACATAGTTTTCTCTCTGTTATTTTTGTCTTGCAGCAACTTGCAAGAATCCGAAAGTAGAAACCAGGAGCTGCTTGCAGAAATTGAGAGGCTGAGGAAAGAGACAGAAGAGCTGAGACTGAGGAGAGGTGGCAATCAGTGTTATTTGATTGTTTTTTATATATTTTGTAACATTTATTAATATTTTGTATATTATTTTATATTATTTATTTTTATATGATCAGTTATTTATTTTTTTGTTTTACCATTTTTTACATTTTTATTTATTTTTATTTTATATATAGCTTTAATTCATTTTTATTTCCATTTCAAATTTAGCACTTAAACTTTTCATCTTAATATCACGTTTGTTTCAATGTTCCAAAACAATAACAACAACAATAACATCAAATATCCAACCTACCCAGCATTGTTTTTTTTTTGCAATCCTGGCTCTGTTACAGTCTAATTTGATGAGATTTTAAAAATTGTGTTTTAATAAGATTCTGTCATTTTTAGGGGTGAAGCATCAGGATTCCCAGAATTCTTTCTTGGCATTCCTCAATGCGCCCACTTCTGCTCTGGATCAGTTTGATGTAAGTGTGTTGTTCATGAGAACATCTGCATAGAAGTTCACTCTGGTTTCCAAAGAAATATTTTTTCATCGTTCTTATTTACATGTTTTTTTTTTGGCTTGTTTTCTGTATTATTCTGATACATCCTGATCTGTTTTATTAGTTTTATTATTCTGTTTTTTCTCCTGTCATAATGTGCTTGGTTATTGTTTTGTTTTTCATTCCGTTGTCCATCAGGACTCATTTTCTTCCTCTTCGTCTTCTTTAGTTGAATTTTGGGAAGATGTAAGTTCTTCTTCAGCCATGTTATTGTGGAATGTCTTTTTGCATCACACGTTTTACACATTTAAAATTGTCCAGTTATGACACTCCCAAAGGAATAATACCAGAATACCAAAGGAAACTCAACTCACAATTGATTCTAATACAGTTTGATATTAGCATGTTGCTAAGCAAATAGCACAACATTCAAATAAGTATAAAAATATATAGCACAAACAAATAAAAGGTAACAAAGGACATTTTTCACTACACTAATCCTTTCTATTCATACTTTTCTGTATTGAATTCAATATTGAATTGGTTTTACATTCTACCAGCGATATAGTTCATGGTTATATTTTACTTATCTGATCCTACATCCACTCCAGTGTGTTGTGGTAGTTCTTTGATGTGAAGTGAATCCTTTGTGCATGTAAACTATGCCCAGAAATCCAACCACAGATTAGACGTGTTCTTACACACCCTCAATCCCTTCCCTCCTTTCTCCAACATGATCACATCTAACTGACAATTGTACATGAAGTTTGACTCTCCTCTCATCTTTTTCTCTCTCTTCATATGAAGCGGTCACCCTCTTTTGGTCCCGGAAGCAAAACCAGACGTGTAAGACCCGCTTTTGTCCTGTGTCACAGTAAAATCCCCCCACCGTCATATTTTTTCCTGTGGTTGTGATGGCCTGTTTTGCAAATTGCATGGGTGGCAGCTCTGATTGTGGTGATATCTGTATTGCATGAGACCTTCATTGCTGAAATGCATCTGAAATGTATTTGGGAACCTTTCTTTCATCTTTTGAAAAGCATATGAACCATATATGTGATTGAGGTGTTATATTAATATACTTCAGAGAAACTGGGTTATTGACTGGGTTAGTTAATTAAACTTGGGGGTTTATTTTCCATACCATGTGCTTTTATGGTACATTTTAAAAGCCCATTTAAATGAAAAGATATAGAATTCATTTGCTTGCCTTAATATTTGGATCTAATTTTAACTTTTGCTCTTGTGTAAAGGTTAAAAAGACAAAAATAAGTTGTTTGCTTTAAATGAACAGTTTCTCATCATTTACTTACCCTTATGTCGATCCAAACCTAAATGTCTTGTTTTCCCGCATGGTGCACAGAATAAGTTAGGAAGAATTTGAACTCTCTTCTTTTTCTTTCAAAGACGGTCAAAATCCAGAAAAAGAAATGTTTCAGAAAGACTTGGGGGTTTATTTTCCATACCATGTGCTTTTATGGTACATTTTAAAAGCCCATTTAAATGAAAAGATATAGAATTAATTTGCTTGCCTTAATATTTAGATCTAATTTTAACTTTTGCTCTTGTGTAAAGGTTAAAAAGACAAAAATAAGTTGTTTGCTTTAAATGAACAGTTTCTCATCATTTACTTACCCTTATGTCGATCCAAACCTAAATGTCTTGTTTTCCCACATGGTGCACAGAATAAGTTAGGAAGAATTTGAACTCTCTTCTTTTTCTTTCAAAGACGGTCAAAATCCAGAAAAATTTTCATAGACATTTATTATGGTGCAATAGATTTCTATTTGTTCTTTGGAACTTTCAGTTCATGAAAGAATGCTGCAAAAAATGATCATGGTTTCCACAAAAATATTAAGCAGCAACAGTTTTCAACAAAATAATGAGAAATGTTTCTTGAGCAAATCAGCATATTAGAATGATTTCTGAAGGATCATGTGACACTGAAGACTGGAGTAATGGCTGCTGAATATTCAGTTTTGCCATCACAGGAATAAATTACATTTTAAAATATATTAATATATATATATATATATATGTATATACAGTGGGTACGGAAAGTATTCAGACCCCCTTAAATTTTTCACTCTTTGTTATATTGCAGCCATTTGCTAAAGTCATTTAAGTTAA